GGCCAGCTGACCAATCAGAGCCCATCGCCTATTTCTGAGGGAGGGGCTTCATAAAAGCAGGAAATCATCAGCGCGTTTATAGGAGAAGGGACAGAGCAGTGTAGAATAACGGTAAATTATGTGAAAAATAATGCGTTTTTTTAAAAACAATGTTAGACTGCACCCCATAAACACAATCAAGCCTAGAAAAAAAACAGTCAAACACACCTTTAAGGTAATAAAAACACAATAATAATAAAGACAATAGATTAGACAATAAATTATGAATAACAATAGTAATAACAATATAGAGAAATAGAAAATGTCCATGGACAGAATTGTGAATGTGCATATGTGCTATATACAGATGAAGGTTGATGAGTTATTTACAGATGTACAGTACTGAGGTGTGTTATGCATGTGCTGTTCAGGCTGAAGATGAAAAACGGTTCTTGTGTCTGGTTGTTTTGGTGCTCAATGCTCTGTAGCGCCAGCCAGAGGGCAACAGTTCAAAGAGAGAGAGGGCTGGGTATGATTTTCTTAGCCCTTTTCCTCACTCTGGAGGGGCACCGATAATCCTCTCAGCAGTCCTGACTGTCCGCTGTAGTCTCTTGATGTCTGATTTGGTAGTTGAACCAAACCAGGACACAGGACAGACTCAATGATGGCAGAGTAGAAAAAATGCACTATAATTCCCCTTTTTCTGCTCGATTAGTTTGGTTCTCAAAGCAAATTTGCACACAACATCCCACACGCCAGCTTAAAGGAACCCTGCCGTGACTCTGTGCCCACGGTTCACTGCTCTTGACCCCGCAGCACACCTCTCAAACGCTGCGTCTGCGGGAGGAATACTAGAGAGAGAACCAGAGAAAGACCACATCCCACCAGGTCCTGCCACCTTAATCTGTTTACGCTCGCCAATCCCTCCAGTCAGATTTTCACAGGGAGCTGGTTTCACTCCGTAACTGTTACCGTTAGGACCGCGGCGGTGGGCTGATCCACACATTAGACCGCTGACTGACCTGATGGAGACCAGGGGTCATGAGTCCAACACAGACGGCCTGAAAACACACACGCACACACACACGCACACACGCACAGGCACACACACACGCACATGCACACACACGCACATGCACACACACACACACACTCTCGCACACACACGCGCACACACACTCACACGCGCGCATACACGCGCACACACACACGCACACGCGCGCATGCACATGCCCACACACACACACACACACACACGCGCGCATGCACACACACACACACACACACGCGCACACGCACGCACGCACACACAAACACACACGCACATAAATAAATGAGACCGTTGTTTATAGTTAGGTATTTTTACCTGTTATAGTTAACTAAAACTAAAAGGAAACATATTTTCATTTAGATTAACTCGATAAAATAAAATTACTGAAAATAAAATAAAATAGACATAAAAAACTAATAAAATACTAGGTTACACTTTATTTTAAGGTGTCCTTGTTTTAGTGTAATTATACATTTAAGTACTGAGTAATATTAATTAACTACATGTACTTACTATATGGTTAGGGTTAGGATTAGGGATTGCCTTAGGGTTACTTGCATGCAATTATGCATAATTAATTGTTATTATAATAGTAAGTACATGTAACATGTGTAGCAAGGATACCTTAAAATAAAGTGTTACCAAATACTAAAGTTTAAAAATGAATATAAACACAGAAAGTTAAAAATAAAAACTAATTCAAATGATTGAATATGTATATATTATATGAAAGCTGAATAAATAAGCTTTCCATTGATGTATGGTTTGTTAGGATAGGACAATATTTGGCTGAGATACAACTATTTGAAAATCTGGAATCTGAGAGTGCAAAAAAATCTAAATATTGAGAAAATCATCTTTAAAGTTGTCCAAATGAAGTTCTTAGCAATGCATATTACTAATCAAAAATTAAGTTTTGATATATTTACAGTAGGAAATTTACAAAATATCTTCATGGAACATGATCTTTACTTAATGTCCTAATGATTTTTGGCATAAAAGAGAAATCTATAATTTTGACCCATACAATGTATTGTTGGCTATTGCTACAAATATACCCCAGCGACTTAAGACTGCTTTTGTGCTCCAGGGTCACATATAAGCAATATAAAGGAACTGCTTCATAATTATTGGTTCCTATCACTCTGCACTTTGCGTTAAGCTCCTCTGCTCGGCGTTGTGGGAGTTGTACCACCTGGAGACTGATTTTTGAACAGCTGGACAATGCTTGTGTTGTTGCATGTGTCGAGAAGCAGCCCAGTTTTGTCCTGCGTTGGTGTGATGCTGTACTCCGGCGAGAGATGCTCAACACAGCTGCGTTTCTCATCATCGTACGAGCAAATCAACATGTGTTCGGCATTCTTATATCAGGAGATTAACCTCAGTCAAAACATTTGATAAGCTGCCACATGCTCATTAAACTAGATTTGAAACTTTTTTGCAGAACCGGTCGCAGGTCAGTACAGTTCATGCAGGTTTGTTGCGTTAGCAGTCATATTTCTGTCTCTAGGCTCCGTTCACCTCCTGTCAGAGCAGAGAAATTGTGTTTTTATGCAGGTGGCTCTCGGACGTTTGCCTGTGACTGATGGCCTGACATGTGTATGTGTGTCCTGTAGAGACTGAGACGGCTTTCCAGAGCTGCAGGTGAGCTCACTAGGGCCTTCTGCCGTAAATAAACACAAACAAGCCTCTCGCAAAGGTCGTCGGATTGGGTCACACCTCATAAATTGGCAAACACGTTTGCAAATAAGAAAAGCGCACGCTTTCAGCTCGTTTGCATGCATGTCTTCTTTGGTGCTGACATCAATCTGCAGGACACTTATTTTATTTTATTTTATTTCAGGTTTATTTGACAGGGACAATGCACATCAAAAATACATAAATGCACAATGTGCCAGAATTAGCCAGAAGGCTATTTTGCATCTGCAGTCCCTGGACTGATGGTAAAATTGTCAAAAAAACTTGAAAGAGTCTGAATCAAAACATCCGCTTGCATCATTCCAGGCAAGTGTCAGCATGGTGCATCATGCCGAGTCTGCGACCCAAACCTGGACGTAATTACAGTCTGTGTGCGTTTTCCAGATGCAGGGAGTTTTTTAGCTAGTTGTGAAGTTTGTTGCATTGCTGACAGACGTATCGGAACTGGCTTTTTCATATCCTAATTTGTTAAACAGAACAATCTCCTTCTATATTACACTTAAAAGAAATCAAAATCGATTGTGTTTACTTACAGTGAACGATTTATATTTATAATGCAACGTGTCTTTGTAATTTTACATAAAAACAGAACTCACTCTGCATTTTAGAGTGTACTTTACAAACCAGCATGAGGCACAAGAACAGAGCCGAGAGGAAACGACGGCTGTGCGTTTAACCTGAATGCATTTGTAAACTCCAGGATCAAGTGTTTGAATGTTCTGTCTTTCCTGATATATGGAAAAATCATCACGGCTGTTTTCCCTCTGGCTGCGTGCGCTCAGAGCCGAGGTTGTGCTGACATGTCTTGCGGACGGTGTGGCAGCGATTGAACACATACAGATTGATGCAGCACAGAGTTTTGTTTAAACTCCACACCGGAGGCTCATTAACTGCGTGCCACGCGTCAGACTTTGAGCCCAAACTGCATTTTTTGTAGGTCAGACATTTTTGGCATTGCATAATAAACTGTGGTAAAGTGCGCTCTTTTTTTAAAGACGATGTTGCACGAAATTCCCACCAGAATCAAATGGATTCAGACTTCACTGAGTTTAAAGGAATTGTTCGTTTCAGTTTTGTTGTGACTTTTTCATATGTGTCCTTGTCAGGGTTATTATAGGTAACTAAAACTAAAACTATGAACTTTTTTTTTTACTTCAAATAAAGTCAACTTTAACTAAAATAAAATAAAATGTAAAAAAAACTTTAATTTCATTTATTTAAATTCATAAATTCATTCATAAGCCCCGTGAAGCCGTGGTTTACAGTGAATTTATAACAGCTAAGGGGCATTGTTAGGCAGGACGCGAAGCGGAGTTATTGCTTTTATAAAATGGTTATTCCATGTACATAGTTAGGTTTCACAAAATAAAACAGAGCAAATAAAGTGTAATGATATTAATAAAAACAGTATTCTTCCACCAAACAATGTAGCTCCTCAGAAACAGTTGTGGTTGCAACAAAGTGGTTGCCGAGCAACACACAAATGTAAACAAAGGTGTATGTTTGTAGAGTAATTTACAACAGCGTCAAACGCCAATGTAAGCCAATCAGCCAATCAGAATCAAGCACCGGAACTATCCGTTTTATAATAGCTAAAACTAAAACTGACATAAAACTGAAATTAATGGAAACTATATAGATACACATATTTAAAAAAATTATTAATTAATTCATAGAAGAAAAAAATTATGAAGACACATAAACTTTGACTAAAATTAAAATATAAAAATAAAAACTAGTTAAAAATAATACTTAAAAATAACACCAGCACCTTGATAATATTGGGTCTCATTTTAAAGCCAGAAAAATGAAAGTGCACAAACTCAAACGTAAATAATACTTACTAATAATATACACTACTGGTCAAAAGTTTGGAATAATTACACATTTTTTAATGTTGTTGTTGAAAGAAGTCTCTTTTGCTCACCAAGGCTGCATTTATTCAATCAAAAATACAGTAAAATCAGTAATATTGTGAAAAAGTATTTCAATTAAAAATAAGTGTTTTCTATGTGAATATCTGTCAAAATGTAATTTATTCCTGTGATCAAAGCTGAATTTTCAGCATCATTACTCTAGTCTTCAGTGTCACATGATCTTCAGAAATCAGGTGGAGTGAATTATCGCATTTAAAAGAATAAATTGTAAATGTATTAGTTAACTTTGACAAACCTCATGACATTAGATTCAGCTGAATAAGCAAAACGACTGTAGAAAGAAACTCACTATAACACACTCTTGTGGCGACTCTGAGAATGCAGCATTTACTTGTGTTACATATATGTAACATGAGACGTAACAGCGTGTGAAATCGAGCTTGTGTGTCATTCGGTTGTGTCGGGTGGTCTGGCGTATTTGTGTTTCAAGCGTCCGTCAGAATAATGTTCCACCGGAAACAGAAATCTCTCAACAGTCTCTGTGTGTTTCCAGCTGTGTGTGTCAGGCCGTTACAGTTCAGACACCTGCAGCACGTCATTAATCAGCGTTCATTAGAGACTACACTAACAACATGCTGCCATTGTTTTCATCGCAAACGCTTTGCTTGTCGTGTTTTTGTTTGTGATGAAACCTTAAAGTTCATGCTGCTGACATGCAAAAAAATGACCTGGCAACCTCTCAGAACATGTTCGCAACCGCTTCGAATCTTGCATTGACATGCATCGCTCACATTTCCTTAAGAAAAAAAAAATCTCATAATTTGTGATGGTGGTACTATAGTACTATAGTACTGAAAGATGGCATATTCGTTTGTATTTACATGATATTCCAAGTTAATTCAAAGAATACCATGTTATTACTATAGTGCTGTTTGGTACTGTTTGTTAGTGCATGTTCATTCCTGGAGCATTTACACTAGCGAGTTGCTTTAGTGTTGACCTTCATTTCTTTGGTGATTGTTGACAGCTGTGTTTGTCTAGTTTGCTCTTTAAATGTGGACGACTTCTTTATAACCCCAAACCACAGAATCAACGCTCCCAAAAACACAAAAATATGAGCTGTTGGCATTAGTGTTTAAATTAATTATTCATGAGCCAAATTAAAATGTCTCTGAGTGAATAAATAAATTATGTATTTATTATTAATTTATTTGCATTTATGTGTTAATTTATTTATTTATTACTATATGTACTATAATAATTACTCATGAGCCAAATTAAGGCATCTCTGAGTAAATGGATAATATTTATATTATTGTGTATTTTATTTACTTTTATTTATTTATTTCTCTTTCTTCCTGCATCAAACGCCAGCACGTCTTCATGTTTGTGGATCTCATCCATAATCTTTAATCAGCTACTTTGACTGAGTTTCAATGAGTTCTGCATAACTGGTCTAAAGTTTTAGATTTACAGTAGATTTAGATTTTCTGTAGAGTCTCTTATTCATCAGATCCTTCTTCTCTGTGTCCACAGGTTGATGAAATCTATCACGATGAGTCTCTGGGAACCAACATCAACATTGTGCTGGTCCGAATGATCCTGGTGGGATATCGTCAGGTGAGCATTGAGTGGAAATGCTTGATTAAATATATATTTTCAGTATTGCTAGAAAACACTGACCTGACCTGAGCCTCTCTTCATGCCGTTTAGACGTGCCTCTTCATAGTGTATAGTGAACAATAATAGATTTTGTGCGGTGAAAAATCTCTTTAAATAATAACAATTCATTTCAAAATAATAATGGAGCTGCTGGTCTGTCAGTGCGTTTGTTTATGAGCTGATGGATTACAGGTATTGTACGTTTGTCACGCTGACAGACTTTATTAAAGAGACTTTATTAAAGCTTACTGTGAAATAGTAGAGGGGTTATTTGGCTAAAAACGATTTAAAGGGGTCATATGATGCTTTTTTAAAGATCATTATTTTGTGTATTTGGTGTAACAGAATATGTTGACATGCTTTAATGTTCAAAAAACACATTATATTCAGAAGTCCAAATAAAGTGCTTTTGCTTTCGCACTGAAACACACAGCGTCTCCCTGACATGCTGCTTCAACACTAACTGCAGTTACTGAAACCACGCCTTCTTTCTTTGCGTGCACATTTGGGCGCATTATGCTAATATTTCCACATAGTGAGGTAGATATGTGGGGGCGTGTTAGAACGAGCCGTTTTAGGGGGGCGTGGCAGAGTCTTAACTTTGATAAAGAATATCTCTTTGGTTTTGAGACTTTAGTCTTTGCAACTTCAGGGATCTTATCTATGCACAATCAGCTTGTAACACTCCAAAGAGAAAGGAAAACTTGAAATCGCATCATATGACCCCTTTAATGAACCTCCTCCAGCTGGCAAACACACTCCAATATCAGAGAAGAACTTAAGAACCTGCTTTCACACCTGTTCGCAGCTGGAGACAGAAAGAGAGACTGAGCTTAACTAACACTTTATCAGCTTTTCACAACGTTAATAATTAAAAAAATAAAGATTTGCACGTCGTCCAGTGTGGTTTTGTTCAGAGTCTCTAAAGGGACATGGTGATTGAAACAACGTGAGATGGGAAGAAAAATTATATTTCAGTGCATTGGTGTTCAAATTTCATGTTCGCTTTCTTTGCATTCTCCTGCAAAACTTTTGCGTTCACTTAAAAATAATTTGTGTTCTTCAAGAAACTAGCGAAAGTTTTGCGTTCTCCCTATTTGCTAACAAAATGTGAATGCAAAGTATTTATTGGGAATGCAAAAGGTTTGTAAGTGAAAGAGAAAGTGCAAAAGATTTGAATTTTAATGCAACATTTATCAGGGAATTGAAAACGTTTTGTAAGTGAACCCAAAAGCTTAAAATGTCAATGCAAAATTAATTGTCGGATTGCAGAAATCGTGTTAGTAATGCAAAAGTTTTGTAAGTGAATGCAAAAGATTTTAATGTTAATTCAAATTTTATCGGGGAAATGTTAAGGTTTTGTAAGTGAACACAAAGTTTCTTGGGGGAACGCAATAATTTTCTCAGTCAAATCAAAAAAATGTAATGCTAACGCAGATTTATCGGGGAAACGCAAGCGTTTTGTAAGCAACACAAGAGTTTTGTAAGTCAAAGGAAAAACTTTGAATGTTAATGTAAAATTTAGGAAAAGCAAATGTTGTGAAAGTGAACACAATAGATGTGTATCTATCTATGAATGCGAAGTTTCTCGGGTGAACACAAAAGTATTGAATGTTATTGCAAAAATGATCCGGTTAACGCAGACATTTTGTAAGCAATGCACAAGTTTTTTAAGTCAACGCAAAAACTTTTTATTAACATTTTAGTATTTTAACGCAAACTTTATCGGGGGAATGAAAATGTTTTGTAAGTGAACACAAAGTTTCTTGGGGGGAACACGAAAGTTTTGCAAGTGAACATAAAAGCATTCAAATCGAATTTGTCTTTAGGGGTTCAATAGATTTGCGAACAAACCATTCCAACGTCTTTGTGAACAGATACATCGAAAGGAAACAGCGATTTAAAAGACGGATTGTTCCCAAATCAGCGAACCACCTAAGCCGCTCACATTTGCTGCTGTATTAGTTCCTGCGCTTTTTAAAAGCGGCAAGAAGGACTGTGGAGATGTACTGAGTTAAAAGTATTCATTTTCCCTTCAAGATGTAGTGAAGTAACGTAGAAAGTGTTCAGAAATCTATTACTTAGTTTTTGTGCATCTTCTATATGTATCCAGTGCTGAGTTGTGCTGTCAATCAAAGCTTTGAAACTTTAAGTGTGTGTTTCTGCCTGTGAGTGACTGTACATGAGTGTGTGTGTGTGTGTGTGTGTGTACGTGTGTGTGAGTGAGTGTGTGTGTGTGTGTGCGTGCGTGCATGTGTGTGTGCGTGTGTGTGTGTGTGTGTGTGTGTGTGTGCGTGTGTGAGTGAGTGAGTGTGTGTGTGTGTGTGCGTGACACCCTGTGCCGGCGCGAATCCAGCAACACGCCAATCCCGCGCTCATTTGGCCTCATTAGAAACGAGACGCCGCATTAATTCATTACAGCAGATTGTCTTTCTGTACATGACACTTATTCTTGTGCTAACTCTTTCATGTGAAATGTATGTTTAATTTTCATTGCATCACTCAAGCAGATGGCATTTTGATCTCATGTATAAACATGGGCACACGTTTCAGCCTTCAGCGCTTCTGGGGTTGGCTGGAAACTGCAAAAATAATAGTGACAAAGAATATGTATTGAGTTTGACAACTAGAAAAACACAATTGCGTTGCACGAAAAGTAGAGAAATGAGTGTCGGCTTCATTAATTGATTAGTTTTCTAGCTGCTTTGCTTGTGAAGCTGTTTGGTCATTGAGCAGATGCAGATGCTGTCGGTCATTTTAGATGCATAATGCATATCTGAGGTTAAAAGTTCTGTTTAATCCTGGAAATTAACTAAGCCTTTGATGCGTTATGATACAAACAAAAAAAGAAATAAAGATTATGCACAATTATGCTGGTTTTGTTCATGAAGTACTGTAATTAAAGTATATAAAATTTGAAAATTAAGATTTTTTTAATGATATTTTTAATAAAAAAATTCTCATATTTTTGTGCTGATATTATAATGAAAGAAATCTGTATTAAATAGAAAAATGCAAACTTGAAGCATTTTCACAAGTTGGCTTCTGGTCTTCAGTATATAGAGGCAATACATGTAGGAAATATTTTAATATTTTAATGGTATTCTAAAGATTATCTTACAATTATTGAATTACAGTTATTTAAATTTTTTTAATGTTTTTTTTTTTTTTTTTTGATTTTTCAATTGTTTCAGAGGCTTCTGCTAAAAATCCTCAGGAGAAATACAAATACAACACTAACTTAGTCCAGTCCAATAAGAGTATAGAGCTCTAAAATGAATGTGGAGTTGGTTAATAAATATTTTAGCTCCTTTTGAGATCTCAGACTTTTAAAGTTAAATCTGAGCACAGATTGAGACACTATTGAGAAACTCTAGAGGAGACACATGAGCCTTTTTCTCAAGAGAAATGTCTGAGAAGCAGGAGACTTCAGAAATAGTCTCTGAGCGAAGAAAGAGCAACCTCTGAGCAATAACATTTTGAATGAGTTCACATTCGATTTCCAGCTTTTTATATTCGGAATAGTTGATTGTGACCTTCTGTAAACTGAAAACTGAAAAGACTAAAACTTAAATTAAAGGATAGAAATATTACATGGAAAATAGAATATACTTAAAATTAAATATGTTGCTTTGAAGGCTAACTGAAATAAGTATACATAAAATAAGAAAAAATACTTCAATTAAAATAAAGTTAAATGAATAAAAAAAGCTAAATAGAAAATTATTAAAAATAAATTGAAATAAAATAATATAAATAATAATAAAATATTAGATTAAAAACCTAATAAACTTAAAATTACATGTTGCCTGACAACTAAATGAAATAAAATAAATAAATAAAATACTGAAATTACTAAAATTGAAAATAAAATAAAGCTAAATAGAAATGTTGTTTTAAAAATCTGAAATAAAATAATATAAAAAATATAATAACAGTAAAATAATAGAAATATTGGATGGAAAAATATAAATAAAATACTAACAATATCAAAATTACTCAAACTGATATTAAAGTAAAGTTAATAGTATATAAAATATAATAAAAATGACAAAAGCGCATAATAAAATTACAATTAAAATTTTAAAATTTAAAATTTATAAATGCTATTGTAGTCTATAAATGATACTAAAATAACACTGCTTCACAAATAAAAAAATAATTGATGCTCAAATCAGGATTTCATGCCCATGTACTGTATGTGGACAGCAGTGGTGTAATAAGCCGGATAATGTGCAGGCGGTCGGTCTGCTGCAGCATCACGACACTAATCAGTCAGCATATCAGCTCTTATTTGTCTCATACATCTTTGTGATCACACAGACTTTAGAGGAGAGTGTTTCTGAGGCAGATCAGATTTATTTATTAGTTTATTTAACAGGGACAATGCAGTATAACCTTGCTACAATTTCAAGCAGCCGATGCTCCACATATAGGCTTCCAGCCAAAGGCTAATTTGCAGCCCCAGTCCCTGGTTAGACTTTTTTAACAACAGTAAAACAATAATCACACAAAAAACTAAGCAAAAGTAAAAAAAAAAATTAAAAAAAAGCTGAGACTGTGTATGACCATCAGTGTTTTGTTTTGTTTTATTTTATTTTATTTTATTTTATTTTATTTTACTGCTCTGCCATTTTTGGCCAACTTTATTTAATTTTATTTAATTTTATTTATCTGCCATTTTTATTTGAATTAATTAATTAATTTATTTATTTTTAAGCCATTTTGGCCTACAACATTTTATTTTATTTTATTTTATTTTATTTTATTATTATTATTATTATTTT